GAGAGCGATAGAGAGTTAGAAACATCGATGAGGGAGAAACATCGACCAGCCGCCTCCTGCACACCCCCCACTGGGAATGTGCCCGCAGCCAAGGTACATGCCCTTGACCGGAATCGAACCTGGGACCCTTCAGTCCGCAGGTTGATGCTCTATCCACTGAGCCAAACCGGTTAGGGCAACAAATGCCATTTTTTATTAAAATTGGTTTTAAATATCTTTTTATTGGTTTGAGAGAGAGAGAGAGAGAGAGAAACATCAATGAGAGAGAACATCATTGATTAGCTGCCTCCTGCTCGCTCCTTACTGAGAATGGAGCCTGCACACCCCTCCCCCCACACATGTGCCCATACCAGAATCGAACAGTGACCTCCTGGTTCAGAGGTCAATGCTCAATTCACTGAGTCACAGCTGCTGGGCTATTAAATTTTTTAAGTGACTTAAAATATATATACTAGAGTCCCGGTGCACGAAATTTGTGCACTGGGGGGGGGGGGCGGGGAGTGCCTCAGCCCAGCCTGTGCCCTCTTGCAGTCTGGGACCCCTTGCTCCTTACCACTTGGCTTGCTGCTTCTTAGCGCTGCCGCGGGAGAGGCTCCCACAACCACTGCTGCACTCACCAGCCATGAGCCCAGCTTCTGGCTGAGCGACGCTCCCCATGTGGGAGTGCACTGACTACTAGGGGGCAGCTCCTGTGTTGAGCGTCTGCCCCCTGGTGGTCAGTGCGCATCATAGCGACCAGTCGTTCTAGTTGCTCTGCCTTTACATCGCTTAGGCTTTTATTATATAGGCTAGTGGCCCGGTGCATGAAATTCGTGCATGGGGATGGGGGTGTCCCTCAGCCTGGCCTGAACCCTTTCCAATCTGGGACCCCACAGGTATCGGGCCTAAACTGGCAGTTGGACATCCCTCTCACAATCCAGAACCGCTGGCTCGTAACTGCTTGCCTGCCTGCCTGTCTGATTGCCCCTAACCGCTTCTGCCTGCCAGCCTGATCATCCCCTAACTGCTCCCCTGCCGGCCTGATTGATGCCTAACTGCTCCCCTGCTCGCCTGATCACCCCCAACTGCCCTCCCCTACCAGCCAATCACCCCCAACTGCCCTCCCCTACCAGCCAATCACCCCCAACTGCCCTCCCCTACCGGCCTGATCATCCACAACTGCCCTCCTTTACTGGAACCTGCCTCCTCCGCCGGAACTGGCCTCCTCCATGCCACACAGAGCCGCAGGACCCCCCAGGCCTCACCGCGCAGAGCAGCTGCTGGGCCCTGCCTCCACTGTGCGCGTGGCCATCTTGTGATGACATCGTGCACACGAGGGCCACCTAGGCTTTTATTAGTATAGATTTTTATTGATTTCAGAGAGTAAAGGAGAGGGGGAGAGAGAGAGAAACATTGATGATGAGAGAATCATTGATCAGCTGTCTCCTGCATGCCCCACACTGGGATCGAGCCTGCAACCTGAACTTATGCCCTGACCAATAATTGAACTGTGACCTCCTGGTTCACAGGTTGACACTCAACCACTGAGCTATGCCTGCTAGGCTAATTGATTTTTGTTTTTTAAGTGAGAAGAAGGGAGACAGAAATACGGATGTGAGAGAGAAACATTGATTGATTGCCTCCCCTGGTGCCCAGACTAGGGATCTAACCACAACCTAGATTATGTGCCCTGACCAGAATCGAACCCACCACCTTTTGGTCAATGCTCAATCAACTGAGCCACACCAGCCAGGGCACAATGGCTTTTTCTTGTAAGAGATTATATAAGCATCCCTTTACTAGATTAAGAATTAGGATGACAGTTGACAGTACTAATCACATTGTCTTCTTTTTTAATATATATTTTATTGATTTTTTACAGAGAGGAAGGGAGAGGGATAGAGAGTTAGAAACATCGATCAGCTGCCTCCTGCACACTCCCCACTGGGTATGTGCCCCCAACTAAGGTACATGCCCTTGACCAGAATCGAACCTGGGACCCATGAGTCTGCAGGCCAATGCACCATCCACTGAGCCAAACCGTCAGGGCTAACATTGTCTTCTTAGTGTAAACATTTTGTTTTCATTCCTGCATGTTTTTCTCCCTCTCCACCCCTCTTTTGTTTTTTGGAGTGTTTCCCAACTTTACAGCTTCTGATACTGCCTTTGGGTAGTAGCAATGAAAACCCAGTCAAGGAAATAGCTTCACACTGCTCCTGTGCAAGGATAGGTTGAGAAAATACTCTGCCATCTGATGCCTCATTCCTTTTGGTATGAAATTGAGCGGTAAGGAAGATTAATTCCACAAGGTCTAGTTAGGAATAAGGAAGCACTGTTAAGGACTTCATGGTTGTTGCTTTTTGTAAATTTCAGAGAGGAAGGGAGAGAGAATATCAATAATGAGAGCGAATCATGGACCAGCTGCCTCCCGCACTCCCCATTCTGGGGACTGAGCCCGCAACCCTGGCATGTGCCCTTGACTGGAATCGAACCTGGGATGACCCTTCAGTCTGCAGGCCAACCCTCTATCCACTGAACCAAACTAGCTAGGGCAGGACTTCATGGGGTTTTATGTTAACTCAAACTTCCCCCTATTCTAAACATTTTATTAGAAAATATTTACTATTTCAATCCCTTTAGATAAAAAGGAATAATAGGTCAAAATTTTTGGAAATAGATGAATTTATGGAGAATATCTTGTACCCTGTATCACTGCACTAATTTACACACAGGGACACATTGGCCCACTGTTGAAATACAACTGAGTAGGCCCTTAATGAACTTGTGTTGGAGAGATGCACCTATTAACGTATTTTACAGATCTCTATTTTTAATCAATAATCAACTATGTGACATTGGTAATATCCTTATTTTAAAAATGAGGAAATTTAAGCTCAGGTTACATACTTTGGTAAAGGTCACACATCTAAATCTGCAGAGCTGGGTTTGAATTCTCTGCTGAACTATCCGCTGCTGTTATATACTTTCTAGTAATGAAAGCATTCTCATTAAGTTTCCTTCAAGGAAGTTATTAATCAAAGGATCACTCTTTTTTAAAGGCCGTTTGTACTTTTTAAAAAGTAAAAACCATAGAACTTGAGATAGTATATATAGGAATACTTCTATCAGTTTTTTTAACAGCTAGAGTTTGTGACAAATGTGTTGTAAGCAAAGGATATATGTAGTAACTTAATAATTTGCTCTTCTTAGTATTCTAATCATTACTTTGTAAAAAGGATAGAAATTTTCCCTTTATATTACTGTTTTAAATAATCAGGAATTGGATTTACCCTATGAACTAAAAAGGAGCCAAATGCTTTGAAAAGTGGAACATATTGATGTGGAAATGTTCACTGCTATACCCTACTTATTTAGCCTTCTATATTTGCTTTAACTAAATGACCTTATTAAATAAAAATTTGTCAGTTTAGCCTTGCCCAGTAGCTCAGTTGGTTAGAGTGTCCTCCTGATATGCCCAGGTTGTGGGTTCGCAGGTCAGGTCACATATAGAAATCAACTAATGAATGCATGGATGGACGGAAGAACAACTCTCTCCCTCTCCTCTTCCTCTCCCTCTTTCTATAAAATCAGTCAACAAATAATAAAAATTTTTAAAAATTGGCAATTTATGGTACATGATGCTACCTTATATTAGGAAAAAGTGGGTCAAAATTTATCATGACAGTACACAAGGCTCTTTGAATCGGTCTTGTAGATAAAATATGAAAAATATTTTCCAGTTCTAAAAATTCTATTAATGCTATTTTCCTGGGCTAAAGGATAATGATGATAAGGTATTATACATTATACTACAATACTGTACTATATAATGTACTATTAACTGAATACAACTTTATTTTGTCAAATTTTCCAGTTCTTCATTTTGAGATGGATGTAATACCATTTAATAACCTTTAGATTTGATGTTAAAAAATTGTTTCCCTCTAAGAAACAGCTATTGTATTCTTAGTTCTTATTTCGTTCCATCTGTTTATATTTTACAGCTGAAAATAAGTATGCAGGAGGGAATCCAGTTTGTGTGCGCCCAACTCCCAAATGGCAAAAAGGAATTGGAGAATTCTTCAGATTGTCCCCTAAAGATTCTGAAAAAGAGAATCGGATTCCTGAAGAGGCAGGAAGCAGTGGTTTAGGAAAAGGAAAGAGAAAGTAAGTTTTTATATTCTGCAATATAAGAAAATATTGATATTTTTGAAAATAAAAAACAATAGGATGTTGAGTAACTTTTAAGTTTCCCCTTGAGAAGTTAAGAAGATACAAACCAAAGGGTTTTTAAAACTTGTGCTGATCTCTTATTAAAAGTCACTCCCAAATTTCAAACATCAATGAAAGGTATTCTGTTTACTCATTCCAGTCACTTAAAGAGTATCAGTTTACATCAAGATGACTGCTACGTTATTAACTATTAACCATGAACTTCCTGTCTTTAATTTTTATTGTCTTTAATTTAGTCTTTAATTTTTATTGTCTGTTTTCAATAGTCTTTTCAAAAAAGCAATTTCCATGTTGATTTATCTAGTTTGAGTTTCATTAATACTGCCCCTTAAAAAACCATTAGTTCAACCTCCAGAAGAAATATATAACCAATGTAGAAAAGTTGGAAAATGTAGAAACCCCATCGCTTAGAAACAACCAAAATTAACTCCATTGGGTATTTTCTTTACAACTTCTCTATAAATACTAGTACACTAGAGGCCCGATGCACGAAATTCATGCAAGGGCCTTGGCCCCAGCCCCTGCCTGCTTTGGCTTTATCCCGAAGGAAGGATGTCCAGAAGGACATCCGGTCTAATTAGCATATTATGCTTTTATTATTATAGAAAAGAACACTTCAAAACAAGGTGGGAATAAAACTGCACACATGCAGAATTCAGTGTGCAAACTTTTTAGGAAGATAACTCATGCTTTTTAAGCTTTAATGGGGTGGGAAGTTAATGCTCATGATAAGTGCTAAGCAAAATTTCTGGATGCAAAAGTACAATCTTGATTGCAAAAGTACCAAATGTCTGGTATACCAAATATAAACAATACTAAATGAAAATATACCAAATATCAATAGAAATCATCTCTGAGTAAAAATCTCTCTCATACTTACTAAGTGCTACCAATTTTCTTTTTTCTTTTTCTTTCTTTTTTTTAAATGATGTTGACTTTAACTTTTTGTTGTTGTTGTTTTTTTATATATTTTATTGATTTTAGAGAGGAAGGGAGAGGGAGAGAGAGCTAGAAACATCAATGATGAGCAAATCATTGATCGGCTGCCTCCTGCACACCTCCTACTGGGGATCGAGCCCGCAATCCAGGCATGTGCCCTTGGCTGGAATCGAACCTGGGACTCTTCAGTCCGCAGGCCAAAAAGTCCGCAGGTCTTTTTCTTTTTCTTTTAATATCCCCAAAGCAGCATTTATTTATCCATTGAATTCCAAAACATTTCATTTAGAAGTATGGCATTTCAATAATTACCCATCTTGATTGACATGGGCTGATACACAAAGACAATAATCAAAATTACAACAAGTAAATCCATGATTCTTAAACAACTGCAACCCTCCCACCCCCCAAAAGTTACAAGTATCAAAACTTTAGATGCATTGTGTTGAAAAGAAGGTTTGTGCACATCATAATTTAAAGAGGCATAACAGGGTGCTACTGAAACCTCACGTTAACAGTTTATTATAAAGCTGATAGAAAGGAGCAAGTGTTCTCTTTGTATCAGCTTCCCTTAACAGTTTTCCAATCGATGAAGAAAGAGGTGGGAGGGTGAATTCAATTTTGCATGTACAAGATGTACACTGCTTATTAACAAAACACTATCAGCTCACTTTAAATGGATTATGTAAATATCATTATAGCCTGTTTTGGCTAATTCTTTTTTTTTAAACTTCCCCATTGCTTTCACCTGAAATTCACAACTATCAAGAGGCATAGTAAAATGCCTCACTCACAATGCACTTGTCTCCATAATTTGAAAAGCATGCTCCTGTGGGCTCAAAGCAACCATCAATCCAGCAATGAAGATTTATTTGAAACTGCTTCTCAGGAGGCAGGGGAGGAGATCTGAGTAGCTGTGCTGCCAATACAGATAGATATAGCGCTAAATATTTTGTGATTGTGGCAATGAAGAATTGGTGATGATGGGGGTTGTAGGTGAAGGAAAGGCCAGGAGTCCAAAGGCTCTTCAGTTACTTTCTCCTGCTGCTTCATCCTGCTGCGCGCTTATCCAGAGAGTGAGGTTGTCTCACAAGTACTGTGAATTTAAGAAGCAGGGGAAAGCCTGCCAGTGTGACTCAGTGGTTGAGCATCCACCTATGAACCAGGAGGTCACAGTTTCAGGTCAGGGCACATGCCCGGGTTGTGGGAACGATCCCCAGTGTAGGGCATGCAGGAGGCAGCCAATCAGTGATCTCTCTCGTCATTGATGTTTCTTTTTCCTTTTTTAATCCTCACCAGAGGATATTTTTTCTTTGATTTGTAGAGAGAGTAGAGAAAGGGAAAGATAGAAATATCAATGTGAGAGAGACACATCGATTGGTGCCTCCTACACATCCTCCAATCAGGGCCCAGGCAGGGGAGGAGCTTGCAACTTGCCTTTGACTGGAATTGAACCTGGGACCCTTTGGTCCACAGGCCAAGGCACTATCCACTGAACCAAATCAGGTAGGGCTCATCAGTGATGTTTCTATCTCTCTCTTCCTCTCCCTTCTTCTCTGAAATCAATAAAAATATATTTTTTAATAAAAAAAATAGAATCAGGGAAATAAATAATGCCACTTGGAAGAAAAGACAACGGAACTTTCTTTAATATAGATTTATAAGTGACTAGAGGCCTCGTGCATGAAATTCGTGCACTTGGGGGATCCCTCAGCTCGGCCTGTGCCCTCTTGCAGTCCGGGAGCCCTCAGGGGATGTCCGGCTGATGGCTTAGGCTCCTGGGCCTAAGCCATCAGTCAGACATACTTAGCGCTGCCACGGAGGCGGGAGAGGCTCCCACCACCACCATTGCACTTGCCAGCCATGAGCCCGACTTCTGGCTGATCAGCACTCCCCCTATGGGAGTGCACTGACCACCAAGGGGCAACTCCTGCATTGAGCGTCTGCCCCCTGGTGGTCAGTGCACGTCATAGCGACCGGTCATTCTGCCGTTCGGTCTATTTGCATATTAGCCTTTTATTGTATAGGATAGGGGTCTAAGCTCTCTAAATAACTTTGAAATATTTTTTTATGAAAACGTCATTTGATTGGGGGTGGGCAGTGGTGAGGACAGTGGTGGGCGGGTCATGCCACATCACTGCCATTATGATGCCTCCTGATTTAAGACCCTGCTAGTTATTTCCCTGCACCATTCAAGAGCCCAAGATCCTCCAGCACACCAAGTGGCGGGCCTGAGCCAAGGTGTGGTGACCAACATGGGCATGGGGATGGTGGCCAGGCTCAGTCTGGGGCTGCTGCTTCTGGTGCTGTTTCTACCCACGCAGATTTATTCAGAAGTTCCTTTGATTAGCACACCAGAACCTCCTGAACCCACAACGCTATCCAAATGTGCCTTGAAGTTATCAGCCAGTCTCCTTGTGGTCTTGTTTGCGCTTCTACATCTCTACCTGTAAGAGACTCAGGCCAAAAAATATCTACAGTTCACCAACCCATATTCTACAGCCCAGTCCATATGGCATCTTGAAGTACAATGTGACAAGGAAAAACAGGTCTTCATCAAATCTGCTAATTACTAATCTACCAATGCAGAAAATATTGAGAATCTCATATTGGACTGGTTTAAAGAATATCTGCAGGTTTGACTACGTAATGAATGCCAATAGTAAATCTGCTGGAGTTTCATGTACAAGAACAAAGAGACAACTTAGAAAATTAATGTTGTGATAAAATGTAGCTTAAAAGTTTTAAGTATGGACACCTAAAACTTTACTTTGAAAAGAAGAATAATTTCACCTGGATCTAGAGAAAAAGGATGAACTGTGGAATGGAGAGTCAGTTTTTACTTGGCTTCATTAAATCTAGGAGGCAGTAAAAGGGTTAGGTAGTATAAAAAGCTTCCATGATTTCATTTATGTGTACACTAGAGGCCTGGTGCACAAAATTTGTGCATGGGTGCAGTCTCCTTAGGCCTGGCCGGCTATTGAAGGGCGAACGTCTGGAGTGGAAGGACAGGTCCCAGCTGACCTCTGGGCAGCACCTGGGCCTCCTACCCCCCTCCCCCACCCTGTCCCCTTGAGTCACAGCGCCAGAGTCCCCATATGGAGATGCGGTGAGCACGGCCAGATGCCATGGGCCAGGGCACAGCGTGAGCCTCTGGGCTGCCCAGCATCGCCACACAGTAGCCGGGCGGGCAACGTGCTCTCTCCTGGTTGCCCTTGCAGATCAGCTCCTGTGCAAACCCACGGGGACAGTTCCTGCAGTCCCAGCAGCTGTGGCCTGGCTCACCCAGAAGAGGCTGTGTGGGTGTGGGGTGGGCTCCTCTCAGGCGCCCAGCACCTGAGCAGGGCGAGGGGGTGGGGGGTGGGGGCTTCCCGGTGCGTGAGCCCTGGCATCCTGGGAAGGGGTAGCAGGCAGAGTGAGAGCGAACTCGGTGGACACCCCACATTTTCACTGCACCTCCATCCCCATCACCCCCGCCCAGGTGCACTGGGAGGTTGGTCGCCTCCACCCACCCCCAGTTCCCCATCCCAACCCAGGTCCCGGCCCTGATCAGGTGATCAGGGCCTGCCAGCCACGGGTCGCCATCTGTAGGGCGATTGATTGGGGCTGGGCCCCTCGCCCCACTCCCTCAGTGCCTGGGAGCCAGTTGGCGGCCCCGTCCCCCCCTGCTCCCCCTCCCCCCCACTGCTGCTGGTCACCATCTGAGGGGTGATCGGCAGGGCGATTGGGCCCCCGCTCGCACCCACCTTGGCCTTGTGCTGCCTGCTCAACTGCTCCACCATCCCGCCGGGGTCCCACTCTCATTGGGGCCCACTGGGGCCGGCAGTGCCTCCACTGCTGCCTGCTGCCAGTGCCGCATTGCCAACACCCGCCATGTTCTGCGCCACCCCCTTGTGGTCAGCGTACATCATAGACTGCGGTCGAACTCCTGGTCTCCCAGTCAAACTCCTGGTCGAATGACCGCCCGAGGAGACAATTTGCATATTAGGCTTTTATTAATAGGACTGGAAGGAACCAAAGGTGTTACTATAAACTCTTTGTATTTCAGCAGTCCTAATTTGTCTTTAAATTTTAATTTTTTATGTTTTTTACTGAGATTTTACAGAGAGGGAGAGAGAAAAACATCAATGTGAGAGAGAAACATCAATTGGTTGCCTGCCATTCACACCCCAATAGGGGATCGAATCCACAACTTGGGTATATGCCCTAATCAGGAATTGAACCCACCACCTTTCAGTGAATGGGAGGACACTCCAACCAACTGGGCCACATCTGCCAGGGCATCTGCAGTCCTAATTTAATGTTGATATATTCCACATAAACTTTTACATTGTTAAATTTTCACTATTTTCTTGGGAACTTAACTCTTTCCTCTGGGGTTTTTGTATTTGATTTTGTGTTTGACTTTATGTAGTAATTGACATGTGCCAGGACAATGCTGGATTCAAATCTACTACAAATCTAATAATGAGTAATTCTTGGATATACACTTAAAATTCAAATGACAGGTATTTCCTGTCACATTCTCACCCAATATAAGTACCAATTCTTTTTTAATTTATTATCTTTTTATTGATTTCAGAGAGGAAGGGAGAGAGAGATAGAATGATGAGAGAGACTCATCAAATGGCTACCTCCTGCACATCCTCTACTGGGGATCAAGCCCACAACCGGGGCATGTGCCCTGACCAGAAATGGAACTGTGACCTCCTGGTTCATAGGTGGACATTCAACCACTGAGCCAGACCATCTGGGCTGGAGTTCCATATTCTTTTAGCTAACTTGAATCACTTACATTGATTTTGAAAATTAGAAGTACATTGACATTGTTAAAATACTGTTTTTAATTTCTGCATATGCTGAATAATTTTTACAATTTAAAAACTTATCTGTTTTGAAGGCATTTTTGACAAATCTTGAAACTAAGAGGCGATTATATGAAGAAGACATAAATAATACATATTTATGTATTGGCAACTTGCCTGCATTCAATTTACAATTCTTTTGTGCTCTTTCTGTAAATATTTTTAAAAACTTTTTGAATCAGAATAGTTACCTTTAGAACACTCTCTATCAGTCAGTGTTTTTAGATTATTAGAACCTGGTCTAAGTGTACTTGATTTTGGAAATTAAAACTTTTTTATAACTGCTTTGATATATAAAAGCCTTTTTAGAAATAGACACTCCATGAAATGTTTGTTTCACATGTCACACACTGATGCTTAGATTTTATAGAATCCAGCATGGCCATAGTACTCTTAAGTCTTAAACCAGCAGTTCTCAACCTGTGGGTCGCGAACAATGAAAATACATCCTGCATATCAGATATTTACATTACGATTCATAACAGTAGCAAAATTACAGTTATGAAGTAGCAACTTGAGAACCACTGTAAGACTTAAAGTAATATTTGCCATCTTTATTTTTATTTTTTTAAATATATCTTTATTGATTTCAGAGAGGAAGGAAGAGGGAGAGAGAGATAGAAACATCAATGTTGAGACTCATTGATCGGCTGTCTCCTGCACGCCCCCTACTGGGGATTAAGCCTGCAACCTGGGCATATGCCCCTGACTGGAATCGAACCCAGGACTCTTCAGTCCGCAGGCTGATGCTCTACCCACTGAGCCAAACCAGCTAGGGCCATCTTTATTGTTTTTCATATTTTTATTGAATTTAGTGGGGTGATATTAGTTAATAAAATTATATAGTTTTCAGGTGTACAATTCTATAATATATCATCTGTATATTGTATTGTGTTTACCACCACAAGTCAAATCTCCTTCCATCATCATTTATCCTCCCTATACCTTTTTCTATCTGCCCCCAAAATATTTGCCATCTTTAGAAAACTACACAGGAACAACCAGATCAACATCTCAAGCTATATGAGATCTGTGTGTGTGAATACTTTTTTTTTGGCCTTATATCTGAACACTGTACATCCGTTTTGGATTGTACATTGTGTTTGGAATTGATTTGCATTTAACACAAAAATAAAGATAAAATGGCTGGAAGAGCAATTAAATAAAAGTAAATGGCTGGAAGAACAATTAAAACAAAGTATTTGAGCCCTGCCAGCATGGCTCAGTGGTTGAGCATCCATCTATGAACCAGGAAGTGGAGGTCACATGACACAGGCTGCGGACTTGATCCCCTATAGGGGGCGTGCAGGAGGCAGCTGATCAATGATTCTCTTTCATCAATGATGTTTCTCTTTCCTTCTCCCTTCCTCTCTGAAATCAATAAAAGTTCTTCTATAAAAAGAACAAAACAAGTATTTGACGCATAAAGTGATGTTTATGCATATACATTTCTAAGAATTATTCAATACTGTTCATAAGGTCATTTAGTAAATGGTTACTAAGCTCTTACTGTCTTATGAGATATTTGAAAAGAATGTCAAATTTTGGAGTAGAAACTACATTTTAGACTTTTTGGCAACATTATTATTTTTGGTTTTAATAAAAATCAACAACCAAAGAGATAAATTTTTGGTTAGAGCCTTTTAATAGACTTGATTTAATGATCCTGTGTCTTCTAGTTCACTGTCATTGTCTGGAACCATTCTTCCTTGTACTTTCTCATTCTAATATGAACAAGCTAATAGTCATTATCAGCTCTAGAATAAATTACAATTCTTTTGAATTATTTGTGACTTCCATTAAGGAAACAAAATATTTGGTAATGCAGCCCAATATGGCTATACCATTGATCATCATAGCAATACAACCTATATTACAGGCTTTCTATCATATGGAGAAAGATTACACATATATTCTCATTAAAAACTTTGATGTATGGTATAAAAAAGATGTTTATATTAATCCTTTAGCCTCCTTTTCAAAAAAAATATTAGTTGACTTTTTAGAGAGAGGAAGGGAAAAGGAAAGAGAGGCAGAGAAACATCAATGTAAAAGTGAAACGTTGATTTGCTGCCTCCTGCATGCCCCCTACCAGGGATCAATACCCACAACCTGGGCATGTGCCCTGATGGAGAATCAAACTGATATTCTTTTTTAATATATTTATTTTTTTTATTTCAGAGAGGAAGGGAGAGGGAGAGAGACATAGAAACATCAGTGATGAGAGGGAATCATTGATTGGCTGCCTCCCGCATGCCCGGTATGGGGATTGAGCCCACAACCAGGCAGGTACCCTGACCAGGAATGGAACCGTGACCTCCTTGTTCATAGGTCGACATTCAACACTGAGCTACACCGGCTAGGCCAAACTGGTATTCTTAAGGTGCACAGATTGATGCCCAACCAACTAAGCCACACCAACCAGGGCAAGCCTCTTGGTTGTTGTTTTGCAAGCCTCTTTCTTAAATTGGTCTTTGTTGTAATTACCCATTTATTGATAGTAAATCAATAGAGTAACTATTAATAGTAAATAGCAAACCATCAGTTTATCAAAGGACTTCTGCTATTAACTCCCTAATTAATAATCTAGAATATGATATCTCCTATGGCTTTATTTCCCCCACAAAGGCAGGATAATCCCCATTAGTTACATGGGGGAGAGTCAGAATCAAGAAAGACTAGCAGCTACTTAAAACCTAACAGAACCATGATACCAAAAGTAAATCAAATCCTTGTGAAAAGGAACTTTTGTTCATGATGGTGTTCATTTGTTAACTATTAAATTTCTAGGAAAATAAAATAAAGACATCTCCGTAATCTAATAGGTGAGTCAATGATAATTTCATACCAAGTCAAAATACCTTTGTTTTAGCTTTCTTCTTTCACTAATTCTATGACCATTCAGCTTACTGGATCTAAATTGAAAGCTGATTATTTTAGGATAGATCTCACAAATTTTCATCCACTCTAAAAAAGAAATATTCTGATTTATGATTATGTGGGTTTTTAAAAAATATTTTTATTGATTTTAGAGAGGAAAGGAGAAGGAGATAGAGATAGAAACATCAATGATGAGAATCATTGATGGGCTGCCTCCTGCACGCCCCCTACTGGGGATTGAGCCCACAACCTGAGCACGTGCCCTTGACTGGAATCGAACCCGAGACCCTCCAGACTGCAGGCCAACAGTCTATCCACTGAGCCAAACCAGCTAGGGCATGATTACGTTTTTGATTCATATTGTTCAAAAGGATGTACAGTCAAATATGATAACTTTTCTCTGCTCCAATAGATTGTTAATTATTATTATTTGCTTTTTACTATCACAAAGTTCTTGCTGAAGGATTTTATTCCACTTTTATTATCCATTTAACATGTTGAAATAAGATGTTATAGAAACATATTTCTTTTTTTAAATAAAAATGGCAACATATCCTAAAGAAGAAACACTGATTCTATAAATTGACAAAATAAATTGTTAAACATTTTGTTGCCCTAGCACAGGGGTGGGGAACCTTTTTTCTGGCAAGGGCCATTTGGATATTTATAACATCATTCGAGGGCCATACAGAATTATCAACCTAGCCTGCTATTTTTGGTTAAACATTTAATTAACTCACCCCTAAAGTCTAGCACTAGGAATTTGTAGGTGTTTATCAATTAACGGTTTTATTTTTCCCTCATTTCCAGTCACTTGATCAGACCCACTGCACTGTTAATTAATATTCCTGATTTATATGTTTGTAACTATTTTTTTTTTTAAACCAGTTGATATTGACTATTGAAGTTCTCTGTTCTTTCCACAGAGTACATCCTTTGCCACCTGATGACACAGATGACGAAGAAGAATAAAACTTTCTTATTCATCCTTGACTAATGTCTCCTGTTTACTCTGGTATCCTAGGATGTAAATTTGCATAAATGTATTTGTTCCAGTTAGCTTTGTTGAATAGGCATTTAATTAAAAATGAGGGTTACAAATAGTTATTCAAAAGCAACTAGTTAAGATATTGCAAGATTTACTAGATAATTATGGTTATTTACCTTAGTATTCAATATAATGCAGTATTTGGTTTCTTTTACCTGTTATTAAGCTTCTTGTTCTTGCTAAAAAGAAATTGCATGTTGTATACAACAAATCTGCTGTATTTGAGATTTGCTTAGATTTTTGTACTGCTGCCATTTTTACTGGCATTAGATTTTTATTTTCGTTCCTTTTATTTGATTTAAAAAGCAGAGTTGGATTTCTGCACATTTAAAAAAATCAGTATTAATTAAACCACACCTGTATTCTGTTTAAGAATGGGGGCTAATGTTGAAAAAATTTGATGGTTATCTGTGTTTTCCATAGAAACAAGTAAGGGCAATTTGATCCTGAGGGTTTCAGGCAGGAAGATTTCATAGACTACATTAAAAGAGAAGAATTTTCTTAGAATATGCATTTGATTTGGTATCATAAAATAGTGCTCTCTGGAAATCAATAAATCATGAAAGGCAAACATGTCATAAACCCAGAGCTATGTCTAAAGTTCTTAGAGCTACCTTTATATTTTTCAAGATAACAGGGGTATAATTGAAGAGGTGGGTATAATATAACTTAGTAACAGTAATTCTTGCTTCCTCATCACATTTTTTTTGCTGACATCTGTTGTCAAAATTAACCATGTTTTAACAGATATGTTTTTCTGGTTTGTTTTTAATAAATGAATACTTATTTTCACAATAGATTATATCCATTTGTGTGCTTCCTAAGATTCTACTAGATACTTCTGTTTTATTTCTTCCAAATACAAATTTGTGCATTGATCTGATTTTATCACCTTCCACACTGAGTCCTGATGATTCTAGATTACATTTTTTTTGTCTTAGAGGTCGATATTAAATAAAATGTTACTGAATTTCAAGTAGAGTTTTATTTTAAGTACTTCCTTGATAGCTAGGCTTCTTATTAAGGAGTAACTCAAATAAACTCTTATTAAAGTCAAGTTTTGATGGGTCTGAAACCTGATTTGTTATTTTTCACTGATGGAGAGAGAAACTTTTTGGTGGTGTGTCTCATGAAGTATAATTTTGATATATAATTTTTAAAAAATTTGATCTAATGAAAGTACAGTCTCTTCAAATATACAACATTTGATGACGTCTCACTTTTTAAATTTTTCATTTTTTAAAATAAATCTTTATTGTTCAGCTATTACTGATGTTCCTCTTTTTTCCCCCTCATTGCTCCCCTCCACTCAGTTCCCACCCCACCCATGTCCTTACACCCCCCCCCCACTGTCCTCATGTCTCACTTTTATTAGGCAGAGGTGTCTGTTCCATGTAATGTTTTTCTGTCAAAGCTTTTTGAAAATTAGGTTGGCAATTTAGCCTCTTCTAAAAACATAAGGGAAGTATATATTCCCTGTTCCCATTGAAATTGGTTGGCAACTATTTGTTTTTTGTTTGTTTGTTTGTATTGATTTTTAGCGACAGATGTGAGAGCTTAACATCTATGGATCGATTGCCTTCTGCATTCCCCCTACCTGGTGGATAAAGCCCGCAACCCGGGCATATGCCCTGACTGGGAATCAAATTGGTGACTTCTCAGTGCACGGGGCGATGCTCAACCAACTGAGCCACACCGGCCAGGGCTGCAACTCTTAATTGTGAAAAACATCATGAGTTAAAATTTTGAATTTTTGTAACTTCCCCTCCTTCCTATTCTGCCCTCCCCCTTCCTATTCTTTTTTTTTTTTTTAATATATTTTATTGATTTTTCACAGAGAGGAAGGGAGAGAGACAGAGAGCTAGAAACATCGATGAGAGAGAAACATCGATCAGCTGCCTCCTGCACATCTACTGGGGATGTGCCCGCAACCAAGGAATCGAACCTGGGACCCTTGAGTCCACAGGCCGACGCTCCATCCACTGAGCCAAACCGGTTTCGGCCCCCTTCCTATTCTTGTTTCTGTCTTTGACATAACACAGAACAAGTTATTCCTTCCACATGACAACCTTCAAGTACTTAAAGACAGCTGTTATATCTTTAGCTTTCTCTTCCTAAGGCTAAACATTCTATTGGTTATGTCACATATATCCTAAGTTAGTTTCTCTAAGTCCCTTGTATAAGGGGCTATGTTTTGTGTTGTATATTGCTTAGGCACATAAACTGATCCAAGTAGTCATTAATTGTTAGACTTTAGTTTTTGTATCTTTTATATTTGGAGATGCCAATGGAACTCTAAGAATATTTAAATATTCATTATTGCATAACAGAGTTATATTTCCCAAAAATAAACATTAGATATCCTAATTCTTTCTTAAATTATTACAAAGAGCAATAAAAAATGGGGGGAAAAAAGCTTTTAAGAACTGAGAAAAGCCTGGAGGTTATATCTACAGGATAAACGTACTGTACTGACTTTGAAGGCTATTTGAGATCTAGTTTAGATCTGAAAGCACTGTCTTAATTATGGTTCATATTAAGAATATGGACTCCTATCCTAGCCGGTTTGGATCAGTGGATAGAGGGTCGGTGTGTGGACTAAAGAGTTCTGGGTTTGATTCTGGTCAAGGGCACATGCCCGGGTTGTGGGCTTGATCCCCAATAGGGGGTGTGCAGGAGGCAACCAATCAGTGATTCATCATTGATGTTTCTATCTCCCTTCCTCTCTGAAATCAATACAAATATAAAAAGAAAAAAAAAGAATATGGACTCCAATAGTACTGCTCACAAAGTCCTGTAAGTGTAGTTAAACTCACCTAGCTAATTTTAGGTGTGGGTTGTGCTCTTTATCTTTAGAGGCCTCTAAACAATGACTACACTGAAAATGATAGAATAATAGAAGTCATGTGACTATTCAGGAGTCAAGCCAGTTACACACCTATAAAAAAGTGACTACTACTAATAAAACTATGAAGAGAGGATCTAAATAAATACTGTCATATTTCTTCAGGCAATGGGAAAAATAGATGTTGCATAGGAATTTGCATTTCTATATTGGCCTAAACTACCACATTTAATCTTAACTATTAATTGTTCTCAATAAAACATTTCTATAGAACACATTTGCCATAATGTTTAAAAATTTTTAAGGACATGTAGTCCACTGTAGTTTTAGATAAGTCATTGTTCATTGGGCTCATAGTTTTACTTTTTTAATTTAATTTTTTAAAATAAATCTATTGGCAATTAAAATATCAAGTTCTATTTTGTCATGGTAATGGTTTATCACTTGTCACAGCCAGATTTTTTAAAGAACAATTAATTACTGGATGTCCTCAGATTCTATTTGAATTGTGTGTGTGTGTGTGTACTTCCACATGTATGCATGTCCATGAGAAGGGTTGTAATGCTTTAGATTTATTAAACAACCTACTACTGACATTTTATTTTTTGTTAATCCTCATCCGAAGATATTTTTCCCATTGATTTTTAGAGAGAGTGGAAGGGAGAGGGAGAGACACACAGAGGGAAACATCAATGTGAGAGAGACACATGGATTGGTTGCCTCCTGAGAGCTTGCAACTGCAGTACGTGTCCTTTGACCTGAATGGAACCCCAGATCCTTCAGTCCGAAGGCCGACACTCTGTCCACTGAGCCAAACCGGTTAGGGTGAAAGACAAAGACAAAACTTACCATTCCCTATGAGAGGCTGTCAAAGGAGAATGAAGTGCATGAGAAAACTTTCATAACATTGAAGATTTTAAAAGCCCAATTGAAACACAACTGAAAATCCACAAGAGGGGGATGCTTGTCAGAAAAGAGAACTCCCACAAAGGGAGAGAGAGAGAGAGAGAGAGAGAGAGAGAGAGACCAATGGGTGGCCTGGGACTCAGGGTGGGAGGAAGCAGGTGTTCATAGTTTCTCGGGGGTAGGGGTGGAGGCGTGGGCATAGCTTAAGCCAAGGGAAAAGCAAGATGGGCTTTGTGACTCCGGCTGTGAAGCGTGCGCTCTAAGACCAGGAGCAGAAGGTAGAAGGGTGTTGTCAAAGGAGAGTACACGCTTCCAGCTACCTCCTGATAGTCCCAGAAGAAATGGGGGTGCTTTTGAGGCACTTCCGCTTAGCAACCCCACGCGGTTGCTAAGGAGGGGCAGTAGTGTGGTGACCCGGAAGTGGTTGTGTCAGTTTCTCGCTGACTGCTTGAAGTGTGTCCTACCTAGAGCGCCCGGGTGCTTTGCGCCAGGCCGAGGGTGGGGCCAGCGTTAGTGGTTCCGGCTCGGCTCCTGTCGCCCCTCGGCTCCTCGCCTTCCCCCTCCCCTCCCACACCTCTCCTCCCTCCGCTTCCTGGGAAAGAGAGAAGCTACCACTGTGGGTGGGTACAGAAGCGCTCGTCGCCTCTGGGAGGGGACCGCGCCGGCCCCTTGTGATCCCCGAAGCACCACCGGACCAGGTACTCGCTCCGGCGTCGACGGGGTCCCGGAGGTTGGAGCCTGAGGTGGGTGTGTGTGTGTTTGTGGGGACTGGTTGCGGGGGGGGGAGGGGGGCGGGCCGCGTTCTCCGGGTCGGGAAGGGGGACGCCGAGATGCTGGGTGGGGCGCAGGCCGGCGCTGGTGTCTGTGGAGGCTGCGGGGGTGGAGAGGAGGGGCTGGTGGAAACCGCCGGCGGAGAGTTTCGGGTGGCTGGGTGAATGTTGCGGAGGAGGCTCCCCTTTGGATGCAGAAGACTTCTGCCGTGTGGACGGGGAGTTTGCCACCTGGGGGACTCGCTCTGAAAGGGGGAGCGTTCTCCGGAGCCAAAAGGAGGGCATAGCTCTCGGCAGGGTGGTTGGGGCAATCCAGAGCTTCCATTGCCTGCTTTCCCTGTCCACCCCGCTGGGACCTAGCCCGGTTTTGAGGTTTTGGGGGATTGTGACTCGGCTGGACACCGTGGGGAGCCGCCCTTGACCGAGCTAGGGCCGAAGAGTGGGTAAGGAGACCTCCCTCCACCCGACTTCCGTGTGCGTCCCCCGCTTCTTCCTTTATTGCTCGTGTCCCTGCGTCGCACGGGAGCGGTACCCCCCAAGTGGGCGGCATCACAGCGTAAAAGAGAGTGGAACTGGGTTTGTCGCCTCTAAATGGTATTTCAAATGTTTGAAAAGTGCTGGAATAACATATTCAACAACGTCTCTTAGTTCTATATTAAATCGTATAAGTTATCTTAGAAAAGTGCAATTCTGAAAAGCACCAAACTATAGGCTAGTCCGGCATAGTCTTGTTTGGTAGATATTGGTGTTTATAAAAAAAAAAAAAAAAAAAGACTAGAACCGTATAGAATAGAGGTCTAGGAGAGACATGTTGAGGCAAGCCTTTTCCACCCTCTTTTTTTTTTTTAACCTGCCAGTAAGCCTGCCCTAGTTTAAATGAAGCAGAACGAAGCTCTTCATTTTTATTTCAATCAGTGGCCGACTGGTAAGTACTGTGTGGTGATGCCTTAGAATAGATAAGTTCAGAGAGACAGGATTGTCTGCTTTTGAGGCTGTCTCTTAATCTTTTAAGGAGATAATTGTGGTCCAGGGGAAGTTTTGGCTTTGAGGTAGGTAAATCTGGGATTGAACCCAACCTGCCATTGGCTAGTTGTTGATCTTGGGCAAGTCATGGAACCTACCAGAGATTTATTTTCTTCATACATACAATGAGTTAAAATTCTCACCAGTATTGTAAGGGGGTGATATACGTAAATAATAGCCCACTTTATATGGAATCACCTTCTAATTGAAAGATGAATTATCATTCATCTTACACAGTCAAGGTAGCCCAGTT